GGAGGTTCCTCAGGAAACTAACAATAGAACTCCCTTATGACCCAGCAATAGCACTGCTAGGAATTTACCCAAGGGATACAGAAATGCTGAGGCATAGGAGCACATGTACCCCAATGTTCATAGCAGCACTCTCCACAATAGCTAAAACATGGAAAGAAATTTTTATTTAAAAATATGCCAGAGTGGCACGTTGTGGGGTGGTCTACCCTTGGCCTCTACGGTTCCCCTTTTCTGAGACTTGCCTGGAAGTTTTTTTGCATTACAAGTTGAGCTGATAAATTGTCCCATTGGCCTGAGCCAGCATCTCAGTCCTGCAGGTGATTTTAGTTAAACTCGCTTCAGAAGGCAGTGATGCAAGTGTGTTCTCAAAGTCAGGCCTGTGGCTCCGTTAAGCAGGTAATAAATAAAGCCTTTCTCTGGAAATTAAAAGAAAAACAATGACCAGTGATTGGATCAAACTATAAAACCAGTTTCTGAGTTCTGACTATAGCCTGTCAAGAGGATTTCTAGTTGTCAGGCATCTTTTTTTTTTAATTTATTTTTTTAATGTTTTATTCATTTCTGAGAGAGAGAGAGAGAGAGGCGGCATGAGCAGGGGAGGGTCAGAGAGAGAGGGAGACACAGAATCCAAAGCAGGCTCCAGGTTCTGAGCTGTCAGCACAGAGCCCAACGCGGGGCTCGAACCCATGAACCACGAGATCATGACCTGAACCGAAGTTGGACGCTTAACTGACTGAGCCACCCAGGCACCCCTTAAAGCATATTTATGTAAAGCGAGGGCAGGCGGCAGGGATCTGACGGTTTATAATTTGAGGGTGTCTGGTGATCATTTTGAGTGGCCCATAGAGCACCAGGCATGAAGATCGTTTATGTAGGAGCTGGTGTGCTTTTTCTCAAGTTCACATCCAGTTGTTCTTATTCAGTTTTCAGGGGTTCAGGCAGTCTTGGTTATCAAATGATTTCAAGCCACATGGATAGAAAATATCAAAAGTATTAGTTTGGAGGATTGTAGCCAGGCATTGGAAGAAACTAGAGGAAATCAAGATCGAGTTCAGTTCATACTCAATTGTATTTGAATCTAATATCTACAAAGGTGTGTCACTGAAACTTTTTCCCCCCCTATAATCACCTTCATTTTACTAAAGATAGCCAAATTAAGACTAATATCTTTGCCCAATAAACCTAGTTTGGGGGATAAGCTTGGCCTGATGAATTACAGAAGTGCAGCAAAAATAGTGATTAATCAGACAGGCTCTTTTAAATCCAGGGGCGCCTGGGTGGCTCAGTCAGTTGAGCGTCTACTTTGGCTCAGGTCATGATCTCACGGTTCATGAGTTCGAGCCCCACCCTGGACTCTGTGCTGACAGCTTGGAGCCCGGAGCCTGCTTCAGATTCTGTGTCTCCCTCTCTCTCTGCCCCTCCCCACACCCCCCCCAAAAATAAATAAACATTAAAAAACCCACTTTAAATCTGCTTTGCTAGAACTTTTTATAAGGAATCTTCATATTGAACTTTCAACGGCGGCCTCTCGAGGCCAGAAGCCAAGCCAAATATTTGCCATCAGACTTTACCTGTGATACCTCTAGGTTAAGGTTAATTGCTCTCTTCTTGAGGTCATCTAGATACCCTCAGGTTCTTGCACCTGCCAAGAAGTGACCTCCTTTACTCACCTTGTAAGAGGCTCCTGCTGGGAGCCCTGGAAGCATGGTATTAGGCCTTCTTCCAAAAGGCTTTACTGGCTCCGTATAATCACCCTTAGTGCCGTAAAACCATCTAGCCGTATCTGAGTTTATGCCCGTCTCCCAAATGTGACATTCCAGGCAAAGCCTGGAATAAAACCAGTGTTTCTAATCGTGTCCTGTTCAAGAAGAACAAACTCTTATGGAACTTACCCAACTAAATAGGTTGTCAGAAAAAATGTATAAGAATTCAATAAGAGTTTTTGAATTCTGGAGGTATCAGACAGGGAGAAAAAGATAAATTCTTGTATATCGTAGCTTCAGAGAAAAACTTTTCTGAAATCTGGAAAAACAAAACATTAAAAAGTCAGTATTTCAAACAAAGATGTCATACAACTTGTAATTATGCTCCTCGGTTCATTTATGTTGTTTATTCTGGATCTGTTTAAATTCAGTCCTTCCTTTAGTTCCAGAAATTCTTACCCAGTTCAGTTTTATGATCTTAAAGTTATCAGAACCCTGCATTTGTCAAAGTTCCTTTTTATGAATCTCTCAAGATGAAACACGTTTGCGGGAAGCTTTTGGAAAAGGATCCAAGTAAAGTAGTAACTGTCTATAAATGATAAAAGAATTAAAATGGCCATGGTTACAGATCTGATTAGAGTTTGTCAGGGAGCAAGAATTCCTGTCCCTTCAAAGTTCCTTCTAAAATCAAATTGACATGAGACAGATTCACAGGGGAAAAAAGTCAAATTTGATAATGGAGAATCTGCATAGACAAGGAAATTCCACAGACAGGCAAGATGACCTAAGGAGAAGGGATAGGGGTCTGGGACTTCAGAGGAAAGGAATGCACTTGACAGGGTGGTAAGAACAGATGTTTGGTAATTAGACGTTTGCCCTCCCACACAGATGGGTCATTCAGATAAAATTTATCTTTGCTAATAACCCTTGTTCTGGGAAAGAACCTCAATTTAGATTCTGTGTAGTTAAGGGAAGGGCAAAAGTTTCCCTTGAGCCCACAGGGTCTCAAGTGCCTTCAGCTCAAAATAATCCACATGCCAAAGGGGTACATTTTGAGGAAACCTGTCCTGAACCCCTTTAAGTTCGTTACAGTGCAACTGACAAGGAAATTTGATTATTTCTGTGACGTATAACACTTCAAGATAGTTCTATACCAGTACATATCAGAT